ATTATCTCCTAACTTGAGTTTCTCCCTGGCTATATTTGGGGTGACAAGTTCTTTGAAGGCATACACCCACAATTAGTCAGATTGCGTACATAAATGGAGGCAGTCTAAAGTATCCTCACTCATGATATGTTTTATTAGAGGCCATTTTCATTCAACTTCATTCCAGGCTTGAATGCAGAAAATCAGATCTCTAAGTCAAATGGAAATAGGCTAGGGGTGTCTTAACACCCCTGTTTGAATTTCACTTCTTTTGCTCTCTAGAGCTTTATATTTCTGCCCTCATACCCAAACAGGGGGAGAGAGGCCTTGCCAGATATAGAAACTTAATCTCACTGACAAGACCTGAATTTTCCTATAACTCACTCTTCTTTATTAATGGGCCTAAAGAAGTAGAATAGCTCCTACAACAGTATGCTCTTATTGAATCTTTATTTAACTTAATTTTTTTCCTAGTTAAACTGATCCTGTCTATGCAGTTCCCATCATTCATAAATATTCTGAAGTAAATATTGTCATATAAATATTTATGGAATTCAACTAACTTCTAATGATTGTAAGTTAGGTACAGTCTCAATGCCCTTGTTGGCTAAATTATTAAAATAACCCTTAAATGTTCTCTTTGACCCCTTTAAAAAATAATTTGCAGGTAAATATGATAGTACACATGATGAATTCCTCTTTAAGGAGTCAATGTTATGACATAAACAAGACAGTAAAAGAGTTTCAAATCTCAGATAAAGACAGGCTTGGAGATGCTGGGCAGAAAGAGCTGGCATTTTCAATCTAGCAGATACCAATCCAGGTAAAATGCTGCTAATTCATTTCTCCCATCACCTTTGCCCCAGGGAAGGGAGCTCCTTTGTAGGCAGGATAATTAGACAAAGGAGGACCATGAGGTTCTACAAGATGTTATTCTTTTGAAAGTTCATCTTTTTTCTCTCCATATAAGACTACATATCTATTTTACTTTGGTTTCAGAGTTAAATACTTCAATTGAACTGTTTTGAAGCAGTAGCTTATTAGTAATAAAATTTTCCCCAGTGTTCCAAATTAGGTAGGTGTCCCATGGTTGGGATATCAGACAAAATACTTTTGAATAATTAAAAATTCACAAATTTGCTATATTGATGCTTTAGTTAACAATCTTTTAAGAAAATTCATTAGTTGCTGTACTTATGTATAAGATTCAGAAGCTAAAGAGATCCCCATAGTAGAACTGGAAAGATGAAAAAGAAAGGGAAAGTTTAAGCGTAGTTCCTTGCAGCTTGGGTCTGGTAGAGGAGAAAAGCAGAAAGTGAATACAGAACTGTTAATGTGCGCCAGTGTAAGCTATCAAGAAAGCCTTCTATCTTCTGTCATTTGTTTTTTTTCTTATCACTTATCCTGTGGTATGATTGCTAACATTCAAATATTCCCTTTTTCCTCAGGAGTTTACCAGGTGCCTAACCATGAGCACTGTGTTTCAAGATTATCAAGGAAAGCTTTGCTCTCATTGTCATTCAATTACTTGGGTGACTCCATCTTCTATATTTTCTTTTTTTTTCCCCCAGGACTTTTCTGGTTACTGATTTGGTAGTCCAGAGTAGAGAATCTCTTCCTCACACAGGGCAACCACAATGTGGTGCTACTATGCTGACATTATAATATCTAAACAAATAGTCCACCTCTTCAATTTAGCTTTAAGAGTGTTTCAAAACTTAAAGGACACTCATTCCCTTAGATATCTCTTGGGATCATCTGTCTCCTGCAACTATCTTGATTGAACTGTCTGCTGGACCTCTGTCCCTGGAACTATGTCTCAAGCCCAATCCTACCCATAATTTTATACAAAATGGTTTCTCCAGCTTCAGTTGGAACAAGAACAAGAACAAGAACAAGCTTGGCTCTACCCTAATCTTTACAGACCTGGCCTCTTCATCCCTAGTTCTAGAATGTCTAATTCATTCAAGGTCACCTGTCTTTCCCAATCTCCACTGAGTGCAGTGTAGATGGGTAAAGGAAAATCAGCCTAACATAACTTAAGGAACTGACCAGGAAGATACATTTCAGAACACATGGTCCCTAGCAAAAGACATCTGGTTTCTTATTTGCCTTCCTGAAGATCTGGTTCTTTATCAAACCCCTTATCAGAACTTCTCATCTCTCCCTCCCTGATCCCAGGGAGAAGCATGACAACACCCAAGAAGGCACCCACTTTTTGGATTCAGGAAAGGCACCCACCTTCTGAGATCTTGAAAAGGCACAACCCCTTTCTGGGATTTTCTGGGCCTACCTATAAATTCTAGACCTCCCTTAACACCCATGACCCCAACTTCCATACATGTGGGAAGGTTGCATGCCCCCGAAAGCTAATAAAGCCATCTGCACCTGTTGAAGGTCAGATTCTATTTCTGCTTCTTTATCACCTCCCCTTCTCACCCCAAATTCTAACAATGGTATGCTGGCTTTCAGCACCTTGAAATGTTAATTATTAAACCTACCTGCATTCATTCATTTTCTTTTTGTGTGGAGTACTAAATTGACAGTCAAATACTTGAGATCAGGTGCCCAAGTTACAAGATAGAAGAACATATTGTTTTGATAGAGTTAATTAAAAATCATTAGTCCATATTGTATCAATTTATAAAACTCATTCCTAAAAGTACAAGCAAACTAAAAAAAAAAGCTTAATAAGTATATCATTTGCTTTGTATGTTACATAGACATTTTATTTTTCAGTTTCTCTATATTTGAGGCAGGATCTCAGGTAGACTAGATACTTAGCTACCAAAATCTCGAATTTCTAATCCTCTTTCTACCTTGAGAGTAGTGGAATTACAGTTGTGCTCTAACTTATTCAGTGTCATGTGCTTCTGAGATCTAACCCAGGACGTCATGAATATTACACAAGCACATTACCAACTGAGGTTTATCTGAAGCCTTTTTAAGGAGGGAGGAGGGTCCCTGCATATTGTTAAATGCAACTTTCTTTTTGAAGAAAAAGAAAAACAAAACAAAACATTTGAACACTGAAAACAGTAAAGATGACGCCTAAGTATTTTGTTAGGCAAAATAGATTTCGTGTCAATCTGTATGGACAAGCACGAACACATGTGAACCAGTTTTGCATAGCACTCAGACTCTAGGAGATCAGGCCACAGTGATTCTAGTTGAGCCCTTTTACTGGATTTTCAAAGGCTTTTTGATATTGTTGACAGAAGATAGCAGGACTGGGAACTGCCTGTAAATTTTTCCTTATACTTCTGATCCTCCTGCTTCTACATCCCAAGTGAAGGAATTACAGGAGTGTTCCACCAAGCCTAGACGTCAATGATGTTTTGAAGGACTATTGGAATCACATTTCAATCATCAGCTTCCAGTTCAAGAGTGCCTCTGGCTAACCCAACTGTGCCCATACACCAAACATCAGCAAAGATTGCTTCCTTGCTGTGTGTGGCAGAGCACACTTTTACTCACAGTACTTTGAGTCAAGAGGATAAGTGCAGCCTCAGCTAGAGCTGGTTGCATGTCATAGGGCCTCTTGCCCTGTATCAGACTCTTCATTAAAAAAAAGAAAGGAAAAGAACACAGTGTGTGTTGAGTGTGAAGGAAAGGAAGAGCAGGGCATAGGGGCTGTAAGCTCATGTGGCAGAGTCTCTATGTTCTGGATTCTGGGCCTCAAGCCCCAAGCTTGGTTACAGAGTCTCCTCCTCTATACAGATGAATAGACCGAGTATGCCAGAATGGCATAAGACTCTGATTGACTAGACAGAATAAGTCCCCAAAACAGGTTAGGCTGTGAGAAGTGCTATCTCGTAGGTAAAATATAACACTTATTTTGGAGGTATATAAGATGTCTAGTGGTCAGTGACACTTCTTGTGATGTTTAGACACTGAACATACATGGAATATAAATAGTTTCAAACATGATTTCTATGATTTCTAAATGGTACTATACAGAGAGTAACTTCTGTTATTCAGTTCAGATTGTACTTTTAGAAGAGTTCTTACAATTAGTGGTCATATGTCAGTCAGTAAACAATAATGAAATTTGATCAAAGACCATTAGTATAGATATTTAATAAACATAGCAATGAATGGAAAAAGTGTGATGCAAAATTCTTTTCTTACCTGATGATACTGACAAAAGAGATGTAATGCCTAGGCCTATAGTTTTTCTTAAAGTGCTGATGTAATATAAATATTGTCAATTTGACTATCTAAGAATGGTTAATTGCAAGTGAAATGGTACTGTTCAGGCAATTACCTCAGTTGTCATTTGGAATTCTTTCAAAATACTTGGAGAGTCCTTCATAATTTGTCAGTCATGTTTTATGGAATTCAATAAACGACAAAAGCAATATTAAAGCCATACATATTGATGAAGAGTAAAAACAGTGTGATGCAAAATTCTTATATTGCTACTTTTAATCACAATTTTATTACACAGACAAGAGGTAACAGGTAACCTTAGAGAATCTCATCAGAAAATAAAGCCTGAGTTCACAATTGAAGACTGAATGTCTACATAAAAAATATAGAATATTTCATAAGAAAAAAGAAGGTAAGACACTGTTAGTGTGACACTCCAAATTATTTTATGCAGAGATTATTTGGTACTCTCCTGACCTTGGACCTGGGAACCAGCTGAATAGGTTAATATCTCAGGTGACACCAGAGGGTGAACATCCAGTTTCTAAGGGTCTGGTATCACTTTAGAACTACCATTCTGGAGGAACTTCTCATTAACCAGTACTTCCTGGTAAAACAGTCAGAAATTTATATATTTTTGACTTATAATCCTGATTTAGAGAAAATCAAAATTGTCTTTCTGACTCCATAAGGCACTTTTCCCCATGGTCACATTGTTCTTCCTATCAACCTCAGCTCCTGTATCTGAGCCCACTTATCTCCATTCCCAACACAGTGAGAAGTGTCTGAAGCTATGTGTTCTGGGTCCACTTGATGAGAGACTGAAAATAGTCATTCATGTCTGTTTATCCACAAGCATCATTTCCTTGTTACTGCCAACAAAGACAAAGTCTGGTTTGTAGATTGTAGACAGAGCGCTCGAAACAATCAAGGCAGATATCTGTAGCAAAGGAGACCACCACAGGCTTCCTAATTGACCTGAGTGTATCCATGAGCTCAGGACACAGTTGAGAAAATCTCTCTGGGAGAAAGCCACCCATGTCATTATAGCACTCCAGAGGGGCAGGGTACAGCTCCAAGGTCAACTGGCTTAGACTGGCTGTGTGGTACAGAAGGTCCTTCAGGACAGCCATGGAGATGTCATTTTCATAGAAATTGACTTTGGTTAGCTGGGAGCATTGACTGATTGCAGGCAGCAGAACAGTGAGCTGGGAATCCTCCATCTTACAGTGGTCCAATTCCAGGATCTGCAGCGTATTTGCAACACTTTCCAGAAGAACTCTGAGATTCATAAGACACAAATCTGACAGTTCCACACCTCTCAGGGTCAGGTGTTTGAGAAGAGAGAGGCTCTGACACTGGGACAGGGAACTTACGTCTAACTGTGTAAGCTGGCAATGACTGATAGACAGGGTTTCCAAGGGGACCTTCAGGTACCTAGGGAAAGGAAGAGGTTAGGTATGGCAAATGGTAGTGAAGTATATTTTGGGGGGTAAAATAGAAGTAGAGGATACCATATGTGCCAAGGTTAGTCTAGCATATGACAAAAGTTAATACCCAAGAAAGCAGGGATTGGAGTTTGCTCATTTAAGTTGCACCTAGGCTGAGGCTTGTCACCAGCAGTGTGGGACTGGCTCAATTCATTGCTCAGCAGCTCCTGACCTATGCTAGCCACATCATCCTAGACACACAAAGGAAGGACTAACTCAATATTTAGAGAAATTTCCTGCCAAGCCAGTTAATCCCACTCTTCCCAACGAGTCTATGTCCCTGTTAACAGTGCTTCATTCTGCCTCTCACCCTTAAACCTAGTGTTAAATATCTCCATCTATCCATCCCCTACTTGGGCTCAATACAGCCTTACACAATGGAAAATTAGAGGCGGACTGATGCCTGTTCACATAGCTGCTAAGCACCACGATCAGCTGGGGAACTTTGCATGTGGGATTCCTCTCTATCAGTGTCTTACTCTTGTTATCTGCCCATTAGATTGGACAGGATTTCATGGAGAAATCACATCCTACCCTCACTAGATCTGACCCACCCATCTGGCCTCTTGCCTTAGCAGCTATTTACACATTTCCTATGCCAATTAGGCCCTCTGTTCCATGACATTCATATGAAACCTTAATTCAATTCAAATGGAAACAAGACTATATGTAGATATATTCTGACTCATTGATTAAACAGTGGCAGGCAAACATCAGCTGTCCACTAACCTTTCATACAAAAGAGAATCTGTTAAGAGGAATAGCTTTCTATATTTCCTTACCTCAACAACTGTTTCATGTGGTCAGCGAGAAAGTATATATCACTCATGTGGAGATGCTGGAGACAGTTGAGTTTAGAGAACTGGAGTATGAATTTGTTGATACACTTCTCCTCTGAGTCTGTGAAAGTATGGTCCATCTTCAAGGTATTTTTGTAGATCCTTGCTAGAGAAAGTGTGTGAATATTCCTCATCTGGCCCAGATGTGGTGAAAAACATGCCAAGGTAGACACACTCCAGCCTAAATTCAGTTCCAGTTTCTCTATGTACTCTGCCTGTAATATTTTCAAGATCTTCCTGATAGTGCAAATAGGTAATGTGCAAATCTCCATCTTTTTACAACACAGCTGTAGGGAATTTTTTCTCTGCTCAGCCCACTGCAGTATGTATGTTTGGTATGCATCCAGATGGAACCAGTAGGAAAAGTCAACTACCACCTTCAAATGCCTCCTCAGTGCATATCTAGGAAGGTCCTTCCCTATCTGCTTCTTATTCAGGACCTGTGGAGAGCAGCGACCATCTTTTTTTCCAGCCCACATGTTCCAAAAGTTGTGGTGCACATTCCGCAAATCAACCACTTGAAGTTTCCACTTCCTGGGGGTAAACATAGAAGTTTCAGATGAGAATACATGGCCCAAAACACATTGTTTTAATTCCACCTCTCAAACGTTAGCTTCTTTCCTACCTTGCTCTCTGTCTCCTATACGTATAAGCCTTTTCTGTGCGGAGTATCCAAAGTAGGACCTCATGCAGGCTGTGGACGTTCTCTTTGGCTGAGCTACATCTGTAGGCCTCTGTCTTGCATCCCTCCATTCAGTTTACTCAGACTTTTTACCTGTGACTACTTTGAGTGTCTTTGAAAGCAGTGGGGATAGGCTCATTCTGCTGTGGTTATATCTGCACTAATCTGCACTAATCTTTCCTATCAAGGCTCAAAAGTGATCAGGGTCTAGCAAGTCTTCTAAGATGATGCCATCAGAAAACTCTGACCTAATGTTGACCATATTCTCTCCCTGACCAAGTGTAACTTCCCTGAACTGGAATGTATTACATTCTATAGTACTTGGTTCTCACTTACCTAGGGTGACCCTTCTGAGTGAACAGCATATCTAATCCATCCAGCACAGCCTGCAAGGTCTCCAGGTGGGGGTTCTTCATCAAGGCCCCCACAGGAAGACAGGGGAAAGGCCAGAATGCTACCATTGCCTTTAGTATCTTAAACTGTCTGCCAGTGAAGGCCTCCATGAACAGTGTTGGGAAGAGCTCTCTGGGCAGATCCTGCAGACCAGAGATGGCCAAGGACTCATCCTTCAGCAGCCTCTGTCTTAACAGCTCCAGCAGTGTGGGTGGGTCCTGGAAGCTCATCCTGTTGGATCTGGAGTCAGAAGGATCCTGAAGAGACATCCAGGAATGAACGTATTTTCTGGCTAAGTTTTAGCAAGTCCTATTTCTCACCTAGCACAGAAATCAATTCCGGATCAGAATCAGTACTCTGGCAATGGTTGAGACCTCGGTTTACCCCATTCCACTCACTGTCTTGTGATCTCAAGAACAATGTCCTCTCACTTGAAACATGGGCTGCTTCTCCCAAATACAAGTTGGTACACAGTCAGCATTGCCCCATCTAATTCCAACCCCACTGCTCTTCTAAGTCCACTCCTCCCTAGAAAGGTTGAACCCTGGAGCATGGAATTGAGGACAATTGTTTTATGGCAAAAGGACACTGATCACCTTTCAAGGCCCTGGAAAAACGTCGGTGGAAATGTTACCAAGTAATATAAATTCTGCATTCAGCACATTTAACCTGCTTGGGAAAAGCTGGGGAGAATCAATGCAATGGATATCATTCCTCATAACTTTTTAAAGTTTTAGAGCTTGGTGTGTGGGTGTACAGGTATGTCATACTATTTTACAGAATGAAGCAGGGGGTTTTTGAATCCTTGCCAGCATTATTAGACAACTAGACAGTGTCTCGCATATAAAATCAAAACAAGTTCACAAGCAATTATAAAGTCAAGTAACTGTGTATAGGGCATCTGGAAAGAAGGTACACTGAGATGGAGTTACACATGGGAGAATTTCCCATGTTGTATTGGAGTCTAAGGGAAGAAATAATTCAGAAAAAAAATCTTTAGCAATGTTTGTATTTGTTTCCTTTTGGAAATATGGACTTTCTTGCACCCCAGGCTGGAGAAATTGGCAATGCTGCCAAGGCAGTGCTGGATGGAACTCATCATGTAGCAGGGGTTTGCCTCCAACTCAACATCTTCATGGCTGTTCTTAGGACTATTGTGATTGCCTGTTTTAGCTCCTGTACCTGGGTACTAGGCTCTACTTTTAAAATATCACATGGATGCCAGGAATAGTGGCAGGGTCCATAATCCCAGCACACTGGAAGCTGAAACAGAAAAATTCTAGGTCTGTCTAGTATATATAGTGAATTTTTAGTATAATCCATTTTGGAGGTATCAAAAAAGCAATATTTTAAGCTGGGTGTCGTGGCGCATGCCTTTAATCCCAGCACTTGGGAGGCAGAGGCAGGCAGATCTCTGTGAGTTCAAGGCCAGCCTTGTCTACATAGTGAGTTCCAGGACAGCTGGGGCAACAGGGAGCTCCTGTTTCAAAAAGACCAAAAAAAAAAAAAAAAAAAAAAAAAAAAAGCAATTTTAGGGACTGTTATTCTCTTTAATTAAATTAATTATTTTTTTTGTAATTTCTTTGGATTTACTTTTATTTTATGTGTATGAGTATTAATGCCTGCATGTGTGTAAATGCACCTATTTCGTGCAGTGCCCATGGAGGTCAAAAGAGGATGTTAGATCCCCTGGAACTGGAGTTATGGGTGGTTCTTAGCTGCTATGTGGGTGTAGGATTTGAACCTGGGTCTTCACAAGAACGGGTACTCTTAACCCCTGAGCCATTTTTCCATTTTTTATTTTTCCTCTTATTTTTTAAGAAATGTTTTTCTTCTCATTTCAACTGGCCTTGAACTTACTACATAGACCAGGCTGGCCTCAATTTCATGGAGACACATGAAATTGTCTCTGCCTCTTAAGTGCTGAGATTAAAGACATGAGTCACTATATCTGGTGAGTCTCCTTTTTCTGATGGAGGTCATTTAATACTGAAATTTGATCCAGTGGCCTGGCCTGTGCTGGAGGACTATTTTATGGCTGAGCCACATTCCTGCTTATCTATATCATTTCATTTTATATAGTGACAAGTTCTGTTCCTGTAACCCTGGCTAGCCTTGAACTGGGGATCTGCTTTCCTCAGATTCCTAGTGCTAGAAACCTAGGACTGTGTGAACAGCCTACCTGGCTTTTTAGTTTCATTTTAGACAATGTCTTACCTAATTGGTCAGATGAAACTGGCTACATTCCTGTATCCTCAGACACCAGAACATCTGGGACTTATGGCTTATGTTACCAAAACCCAGCTTCAGTATCTTTTTCAAGCTATAGTCAAAAGGAAATTTCGATTTAGAGTCACAAAACCATAATCCATGAAGTGTAAATTAGGGGATTACAAACTAATTACATTACAATGAGTCCCCTAACTCAAATCCCAGCATGGGGAAGAGGATGTACAGATTTAGAAAGTCAAGAGCAAAAGGCCACCCTGGGCTGTATGAGATCTTATCTCAAGAACTCCCAAACAACCAAACAAAAAGGTAAATTATAATCCAATAGGCATTTATCATTAAAATCAAACTAAAGCTAGAGAAACAAATTCTAAACTTCCTCTCTAAGGCATTGTATAGCTATGGTCATGAGATGTATGTAGCTCAGGTGGTTAGAGTGTCTGATATGCCCTGGGTTCTATCCCACCACATAAATATGATAAGGTGACAAATCACTATAATCTATATTCTTAAAGTGGTAAAGTGAAGAGAATCAGATAGTCAGCACTACATGCTGAGTTCAAGGCCAGTGGGTTGAAAACTTGTCACAAAAAATAAAGAGCAGGAGAAGTGGCTCGGCAGTAAAGAGCAATTACTGCTCTTCCAGAATATCTGAGTTAAATCCATGTCAGACAGCTCACAACTTTCCGTAACTCCAGCACCAGGAGATCCAGCACCCTCTCTGCATGCCATGGGCACCTGTATACATACGCTATACACTCACACATACACGCACATAAATAATGAAAATAAATCTTAAAATAAAAAAAAAATGAAGAAATTTTATCCAGACATAAAAATATAGTCATAATAATTAGAAAGAGGTGACAAAAGGTGGTTAATTTGTGGTCCTCCTCTCTTACATGATTTCTAGTGCAACATAGTCTGTAATTTATCCTGTCTCCTAAAAATGAAAGAGCAAATTTAACTGACATAAAAGAAAAGTAATTCAATACATTTGAGTAACTCACAATTATAATTCCAGTTAATTGGAGCCTGAAAGAAGTGAATTGTTATGAGTTCAAAATCACACTGGGCTGGAGTCAAACTCTGCCTTTAAAAAGAACAATGTAATTGTTGAAATGGTCCAGTGCATGATAGAACATGCTGATATTCACAGCATTCAAGAGAGTCAGACAAGAGGACTTGATTTTTGAGCCTAGTCTAAGCTGCATGCCCAGTTCTAGGACAATACATTATAGTAAAGCTCTGTCTCAAAAATTCAGCAACAGGGGCTAGAGAGATGATTTAGTGATTATGGACACTTGTTATTCTTCCAGAGGACCCAGGTTCGATTTGTAGCACTCACATGGTGGCTCATAACTGTCTGAAACTCCAGTTCCAGGGGCTCCAACATACACTTTTCTTTGCATGCACATGGTGCACTTACATACATGCAGAACATGTATACAGGTAAAACACTCATACACTTAATAAAAATAATAAATATTTTTTTTTTACTTTGGTCTTTTTGAGACAGGGTCTCCCTGTAACCTCAGCTAGCCTGGAACTCACAGAGATTCACCTGCCTCTGCCTCCCAAGTGCTGGGCTCAAAGGTGTGCATAAATAAAATATTTTTAAAAAATTCAGCAACAATGAAATTAAACATTTGAGATGAAGGTTAACCTGCTTTTAGAATAAAACTGAATATTTTGCACTTGCTCATTGGAAGAGACAGAAATCGGAATTTCCTGTTTCTCTTGAGTCTAATGTCTCTAAATAAGACAGAGTGTCCTGTTGAAGGTAGAGGACTTACCAGATACAGGCAGTGATGACCAGGGTCTGAATCCCAGTGCAGCCAGGCTCTGATTTCTGGACCTGTGTTCTCTTTTCTGGCTCCTCTGAAGCTTCTATACACCTTTCTACTAACCCCTCCCGTTTCCATTCCCACCTCCCAAACACAAACTCTCATTTGATTGGATGTCTGGGTCTCCACCCAGTTAATACTCTTTGGGATTTATCTTTCTGTAGATTGAGTGACTGATTGAATTACAAAGCTTTTAGTGAAAACAAAACTAAAACAACAAAAGCAACAATAAGAACAAGAGTAACACCTGAAACTAAGGTGAAGGTCAAGAAACATCAATTGATTTACTCCAAAGGTTCCTTTCTTTCTTTTCCTTCCTTCCTTCCTTCCTTCCTTCCTTCCTTCCTTCCTTCAGAGATATTAGATCCATCATTTTCTCCCTCCCCCCTTCCTCCTTCCTCCCTCCCTTCCTCCCTCCCTCCTTCCTTCCTTCCTTCTTTCCTTCCTTCCTTTCTGTACTTAAATTTGTATTTTTAATTTTAAGACAAGAGTCTTGTACTTAACCTAGATTTGCAACTCCAACTCTCAGTAATCCTCCAGGCCCCAGCATTCTCACTGCTAGGATTAATGTTTTGAGCCACCACACCTTGGTGAATTTATGTCATTAACATTATTCTAAGTGTAAATCAGTAAAAGATTTAATCTGTTCATGACAATAGACACCAGAGAAAAAGGAAGCTGAAAGTATCATCTTCAAATGACCATGTGACCAATATCTTGCTATAATCTAGAATCAGATATGACATAAAGAACTGAAAAGGATCTTCTGTCAGTCTTCAACTGTGACAGCCCCCAGAAAACTGAGGCAGGGGGAAGACATGAGTCCATTACTGTTGTGGAACAGGTACAGGGAACACATTAAATATAGTAGAGTGGTGCCTAGCATGCTCTAAGCCCTGGTTCTGTCAGCATCACTTCGTAACCTAGGCATGTTTGGACATGTCTATAATCTTTGAACTTGAGAAGGTGTGGCGGAAGGATCAGAAGTTCAATGTCATCTTCTGCTCATAACATGTTTGATGCCATCCTTGTCTACATGCAATCTTTTTTTCAAAAACAATTTTTAAAAATGTGGCAGGGAGAGACATGCTGCCCTTGGTCTCCAGAAGGTCGGAAGTGTTTCAAACAGGATCAGCTAGAGAAAATGAAAAATA